ATGAATGTGTGTCCAGGACAGACCTAAATTTTCCCATTTTTTGATTTGCTTTGTCAAGTCTCGGAAAAGCGTAGTATGGTTGAATTTCAATAAGTCATCCAAACAAAGTGGAATCCTAATTCCAAGGTAATGTCAGGATGGCATGGTCCATCAAAAGGAATACCTTCCTTTAATTGTGGCGGTCAGTTGTGAATTTATATTCATTGGGTATAATTGATGAGGGCTGCTGGGAGCAGGGGGCGGGGTTTGTTGCATGTGCCTGCCCCCTGGGCTCTTTACTGCCGGAGCTCCGCTCCTGTGCACTTCTGCAGGAAATGACCCCTGGTTCTGTTATATATTTATGTCCATCAAAAAAAAAGCAAGCTGCTGTCCAATGATATAGTTGTAAGCAGAATTTAATTATGCTATCTTAAAAGCTATCTTATGAATGTGTGTCCAGGACAGACCTACATTTTCCGATTTTTTGATTTGCTTTGTCAAGTCTTGGAAAAGCGTAGTATGGTTGAATTTCAATAAGTCATCCAAACAAAGTGGAATCCTAATTCCAAGGTAATGTAAGGATGACATGGTCCATTGAAAGGAATACCTTCCTTTAATTGTGGCGGTCAGTTGTGAATTTATATTCATTGGGTATAATTGAGATTTTGAGTGGTTAACTTTTAGACCAGCTGCTCTACTGAAATCCTCTAAAGTTCCTTGAAGAGCTGGGAGAGATTTTAAGGGATCAGTTATATATAGCAATAGATCATCTGCAAAAAGACTAATCTTAAATATTTTTTTACCTATACCTGATATATTCATATTATTTCTGATTCCCGAGGCTAATGGCTCGACAGCTAAAGCAAATAATGGAGGAGATCGTGGGCGTCCCTGACGCGTTCCTCTCTGTAGTGTGAAATGTTCAGGGTACATATTGTTAATTTTCAGTCTTGCACATGGGGTTGCGTAGATTTCTTAACGGGTATTGTTTGATTTTTAGGAATGTGTACTTAAACATTAATATCAAAGACATGTTTTGCTGTAAAAGGATTATGTTATTGAACTATGTTAAATGTTAAAGAAATGAAAACCTTCCAAAAAATGAATGTGTGTCCACACTGATGAAATCCCTGTGTGTGTGTGAAGGGAGGCCCCCTAGTGGGGCGCATTTTGCCATTGCAGTCTACTGCAGGGTTGTGGCCTGCGTGGACTCCATGCCAGGGTCGGAAGGCAGGTTTTTGCTTCAGCACAGCACTTCTCTTTTCTGCACAAGTGGGATTGGAGGTGCAAAGAATGTACGGTTTGCTAGCGGAAGGTTCTAACTTCAGTCCCTGGCGTCTTCCCTCTAAGATCCACAGCGTTGTGAGCAAAAATTCTACCCCGTGAGCCAAAAAAGCTAGTAGCATTAAAGTTGTGAGCTAGGGGTCCAGTTCTATGGGCCCCAGAAGGAAATGTCACCCTCCATTGTTCCTTCTAAGCTGAGTTAGTGTGAGCTAGCTCACAGTTTTTTAGCCTCCAGCTCACACGTTTTTGTCTTAGCTCAGGAAGGAAGGCTCCAGAGCAAACTGATTTATGCAGTAGCCAAATCGCTCGCTCACAACTTTAATGCCAGCGGCTCACAAAGTAGAATTTTTGCTCACAAGGCTCCACAGCTTAGAGGGAGCATTACCCCCATCCCCATTGTTTCCTATGGAAGCTTGGTTGTGAGCACAGTAGAAATCCTCTGAGTTGGCCTCTGAAAATGTTGTGCATCAGCACCCCCTAGCGCAGCTTAGAGGGAACTGTGGTCTGGATCCAGATAAGATAGTGGTGGTGCTGGCGGAAGGGATTTCAATGAAATGTGTTTCCTTCCATCGATGCTCTGCAGTTGTCATTGGCAGTGTTGCTGGGTACTGGTCTCTTTGTGGAGAAACAGGTGTCCATGGCAGCAAAAAATGCCCCCCCCCCCCCCCAGCAACATTCTGTTCAGAAGACGTCTCCCTGTTTTCAGGCATCGTATCTGACCACACTGATCCATGCTTCAATAACTTTGAGCCTAGATTACTGTAAAATGCTCTACATGGGGCTGCCCTTGAAGATTGTCTGGAAACGGGAGCTGTTGCAAAACATGGCAGTCCATTTGTTATCTGGAGGTAGCTGGCAGGATCATATCACTCCTATTTTGGGGGGATTTGTTTTGTATTTTTAATATGTGCCTGTGTGAGTGTGTGTGCACCTGGAAATCATGTCGACCTCTGGTGACTGACCCCTACTGGGGGCCTGAAGGATATTCAGAGCGGTGGCTAAATAAAGCCTGTCCCCACCTCCCGCTTCTGGTATTTCAAAGACGTCTCCCATCCAAGTACTTGCCAGGGTCAGCCCTGCTTAGCTTCCGAGATCTGACGAGATTGGGCTTGCCTGGGCTATCTGGGTCCGGGCTTTATCACTCCTATTTTGAGGTCCCTTTCCTGGCTGTCGATCCTACTCAAGGTGTTGGGGTGGGCGTGTCTGTGCAAAGTGCTGTCAAGTCACAGCCGAGTTACAGTGACCTCAGCAAGGGGCTTTTTCAAGGCAAAGTGAGAAGCAGAGTTGTTTTGCCCCTTCCTTCCTCTACAGTCTTCCTTGGTGGTCTCCCTTCCAAGTACTAACCAGGGCTGACCTTGCTTGGCTTCTGAGAATCTTAAAAGATCGGGCTGTGCTGTGCCGACTTCCCTCCCCAAGGTGTTGGTAAAGGTAAAGGTTCCCTTGCTCAAAAGCCAGTCGAATCCGACTCTAGGGATGCGGTGCTCATCTCCGTTTCAAAGCCGAAGAGCCAGCGCTGTCCGAAGACGTTTCCGTGGTCATGTGGCCGGCATGACTAAACACCAAGGCGCACGGAATGCTGTTACCTTCCCACCGAAGTGGTACCTATTTATCTACTTGCAATTTCTTGCTTTCGAACTGCTAGGTTGGCAGGAGCTGGAACTAGAGACAGGAGCTCACTCCGTCATGCGGCACCCGGGTCTCAAACTGCTGAACTACCGACCTTCTGCAGCCTGCAGTTCAGCGTCTTAACCACTTGAGCCACTGCAGTTCCAAGGTGTTGGTACTCACCTTTAAATCTCTTCCTGACCTGGGCTCAGTACTTGAAAGACCGCCTCTCCCAGCATGTTCCTGTATGGCAGCTTCAATTTTCTTTGCCAGGGCTACAGTCAGTACCCCCCTTGTCTTACGTATGGTCAGGACAGTCTGGGCCCAAGCATTCTCAGTGGCTGTTTCTACATCTCAAACAGCCCCCCCCAGAAGGGAGGGACTGTGGGTCAGTGGTAGAGCATCTACTTAGCATGCAGAAGGTCCCAGGTTCAATCTCCAGCATCCCCAGTTAAAAAATCTGGCAGTAGGTGATAGGAAAGACCTCTTCCTGAGACCCTGGAGAGCCTCTGTGTAGACCAATACTAACTTTGTTGGACCGAGGATCTGATTCAGTATAAGGCAGTTTCTTGTGTTCCTTGTTTCTTGTTAGATGTTGGGGGCACTCCTATCCTTTCAGCTCTCTAGCACAGCTGCAGAAAACAAGTTGTTCCAGAAAGCTTTGGAGATAACCTAGGTAGTGGGGGGATGCAGATGTTCCTGTGAAATGCAGCCCAGGAGAACTGTTGTCCATCAGAGCAGATAGTACTGACATAGGTAGACTAAGTAGTCTGAAACACATGGACACAGGAAGCTGCCTTATACTGAATCAGACCATTGGTCTGTCAAGGTCAGTATTGTATACTCTGATTGGCAGCAGTTCTCCAGGGTCTCAGGTAGGGTTTTTCACATCACCTACTACTACTTTTTTTTTTTTTGCTGTCAAGTCATAGCTGATTTATGGTGCCCTCTAGGTGTGGGCACGAATTGGAAAAATGAAGGTTCGTGAAGGTTCGTGGGGTCTCACGAACCATGAACCTCCACGAACCTTCCTGTTTAATGAACCGGTTCATGGTTCCTTATGCAGGATGGCTTTTGCAGTCCAAGCTTGCAAAAGGCTTGGTTTATTCCTGGTTTTAGATGCCTTCTGAGTTCATTTGACAAGTTGTGCCGTGGCGATGGCACTGCTTGGAAAAGGCATTTAAAGAGTCTGTGGTCTCTTTAAATGCCTTCTCCAAGCCCTGGCGCCAGCGTGTCTCCTGACACGAACCGCATGAACCTTCCAAAGCCACTTCGGAGAGCTGTGGGAGGTTTATGGCGGCAGGGGGGCATGAACCTTGGTTTGCGAACCACAGTTCATTACGAATGTAGGTTCGTGAGCTGATTCATGCCCATTTCTGGTGACCTTTGTAGAGTTTTCAAGGCAAGAGATGTTCAGAGAGGTGGTTGCCATTGTCTTTCCTCTGTGTCATGACCCTGGTATTCCTTGGTAGTCTCCCATCCACATAGTAACCATGCCCAACCCTGCTTAGCTTCTGAGATCTGACAAGATTGGGATACTCTGGGCTATCAAGGTCAGGGCTATCTACTTCCACCTGATCATTTTTGCTGGATATACTAGGGATTGAACCTGGAACCTTCGGCATGCAAAGTAGATGTTCTGTCACTGAGCCACACACCCCTCTCAGGTTTATATGAGAGAGAGAAAGTTAATGGTATAAACTCTTTACTTACATAGGGCAAAGTAAAGGTTTAACTCATGACTACCTTTGGAGTGGGTACCTAAATCCTTCTCCTGCCCCTGGGCAACCGCAGTTATTCGGTGTCCTTCTGCAGAGCTCGGTCCCCCCCTCTGTCTCTCTGGTCATGCTAGAGTGGAACAGGCTGAACTTTCTGTAGATACAAAATTATAATCAGATTTCTAATAGTTAACAACAGGAGACGGTACTCCTTCGGAACATTCCATGCATTCATTCTATGCTTTCTCTTCTTCGGATACTTTCTGTGAACTTTGCCATTTCAACGATTCTCTGAGCTCTAGTAATAACAGATGCCTTACCGTTGAATCATTATCTTGCACTGACTGTATTAGCGGCAGTAAAAATCTTCCACATTTACCAATTCCCTCCCCCCCCCCTTTTCCATCCCTGCAGGAGAGTACATTAAAACATGGAGGCCGAGGTATTTTCTGTTGAAGAACGATGGGACGTTTATTGGCTACAAAGAGCGGCCGCAAGACGTGGACCAACGGGAGTCCCCGTTAAATAACTTCTCCGTGGCTCGTAAGTATTTCCCCGAACTGTCGTTCTGTTATGTCTTTCGCTTACTAACGTCTCCGAAGCAGTCACAGACATTGCTGGAATTTAAACTGCTTTACCCACTGGACGGTTAATAAAACTCAACAGAATCCCATCTTTGGACAAAACTTCTCATCATCTTGGCGTTCGTTATCTTGGAAACGGAGCTGTTTTTTGTACCATGGAATCGCTGTGGGTCGGATCTAGCCATGTTTATTTTTTTTCTCAGTCTCGCCTAATCCCCTTCCTTACTTCAGCCCCTGACCCACCTGGTTTTTATCTGTACAGGTCCCATTATTCCCAACATGTCATTTTTTTGGATGCTCACAAGGGGCTCCTTTCTATTCCCCTAACAGAAAACCTAGTTTGATCAACCCAACGGCTGCTTTCTGTACTGAAACGGGGTGTCTCTTTCAAACATTTCTGAGAATGGGTTGAATCTCGTGGTTAAGTATCCAGTGATGGAAGTAGTTTTAACTCAGTGAGTAATTAAATCGTGGAATGCATTAGCATAGAGGCCTTTAAAACGGGATTAGAGAGGTCCATGGTGGAGAAGTCCATCAGTGGCTGCTAGATGTGGGAACTAAAGGGAACCTCCATACAGAGGCAGTAAACCTCTGTATACCTGTGCTAGAAGGCAACATCAAGAGTAGGTCTTGTCCTCTTTGCCCTGCCTGTTGACCCTCCAGGCCACGGTGTGAAACAGAGTGCTGAACTAGAAGGACCACTGGTCTGATCCCACAGGGCTTGTCTTATTAGAACATAAGAACATAAGAGATGCCAATGTTGGATCAGGCCAAAGGCCCATCCAGTCCAACACTCTGTATCACACAGTGGCCAGAAATACCAGTGCCATCAGGAGGTCCACCAGTGGGGCCAGGACATTAGAAGCCCTCCCACTGTTGACCCCCCCCCCCCAAGCACCAAGATGACAGAGCATCACTTGCCCCAGAGTCCCTATCTATACCTTGTGGCTAATAGCCACTGATGGACCTCTGCTCCATATGCTTATCTAATTCCCTTTTGAAGCGGTCCATGCTTGTAGCCGCCACCACTTCCTGTGGCAGTGAATTTATTGTAATCTTAAGGGATTTTGGTCATCAGATTCAAACTTCCTCACTTTCCACATTCATTGCAGCCCAAAATGATCCCTAATATGCTGCTCTTTGGGGACAACTCCCCCCCCCAAAAAAACACAACAGAATAGGGGAATCTGGACATCTTCGGTGGGAGACGAGAATCTGCAAAATATCTCCCCAGCAGCAGAAATTTTCTTGAAGTTATGCTGTACAAGTTTGGTGTTGGAGGATCAAAAAGGAGGTGCGAAGATAGACATGCCGATCAGCTTGTCCGTTCAACGGCAGGCAGGTTACAGTGAATCTCATTGCCGTAAGTTTGCATACAAGAAGGAGGCAGGAAGAAACAAGAACAAAGGGAAGAAACGGGGGAGGGGACCCTAAGTCTTTCAGAGCGGATCCCATATTTGTTGAATCAGGTTGAAGAGAACTGTAAGTCTAAAAAGCCTTTGGAAAGGAAGGCAGCACGGTGTAGCCCAGTCTCGTCAGAACCTGGAAGGCAAGCAGTGTCTGTACTTGGATGGGAGACCACCAAAGAGGACTCTGCAGTGGAAAGCAATGGCAAACTACCTCCGCTTCTCACTTGCCTTGAAAATCCCTTGCTGGGGTCTGCGTAAGTCAGTCGCTACTCGAGGGTGCTTACGTACATACGTAAAAAGCCTTTGGCAGACAGACAAGCCAGGTGTTAAAACCCCCTGCTCTGGTTCTCTGGATTTTCAAGTGATTGCAGGGATCCCGGTAACACCCTGTTTGTCACACGGTCAGAGGCTGCAGACAGCCATCTTTCCACATGGTTAGAGCCCACCGTGGACAAGTTTTGAAAGCAATCTTTGCTCCCAGTTAAGTGGACTATATAGTTCCACTATTTGCTTGTCCTTCCTGAAAGTTCTTCCAGTGGCCTTCCCCCTCATTCTCCCCTCCCTCAATCTCCTTGAAAATCCTCTAGTGACAAAATGAAGATTGAAAGCTGCTTTCTTGGCGCTATCAATTCATGGCGCGATGCCATTAAACAGGGAGCGGACTTTGACACCTTCATTGGCAAGAAATTTGACTTTTCTCCCTGCTTTTAAGTGCTTGGAGGGGAGTAAATATTTTGACCCTCTAGGAAGTCACTGGAGGTCTTTCAGCCACAAAACGGTAATTTGCATCTCAATACCTTGGTGTCTATTCGTGTTAGAAATCCTCGCCCTGTCCTACTTACTTGTGAAAGGCCAGCATCTAAGAAAGAATTGAAAGGTTCTTTCGAGTAGTTTAAAATTTCTCTCCCTTGAACACGTCTTCCTTTCGATGGGGAAATGGGAGAGATGATGAATAGGAATACTGTTAGTTTGTAAGGGGGGGGGGGGTTGGTCCTGTTTTATACAAAGGGCAATAGACTGAGTTGACGGAGTGATAACAAGTTTTGTGGGAATGCGACTACAAATGCAACCCTGGCACTGGGGGACTGTTTTGTATCCTGCAGATTCAGCAGTGACTTTTCTCTCCGAGCATAGATCCCCCCCCGCCCCAAATGTTCATTTTAGCCTTTTAAAAAACTTTACATATTTATGCCCCATTTTTCTCCCTGTTGTGGGGCCCAAATTGGCTTCGTTCTCCCCTCCTTTGTTTTTGTCCTCACTGTAATGACCCCAATGAGGACCCTTAGGCTGTGAGGGAGTGACTGGCTGTGAGGGGAGCTTCCATGGCAGGCTGAGGATTTGGACCCGGGCCTCCAAGATTCTAGTCTGACATTCTAACCACTGTGCCATGCTGCCTCTCACTGGTATCTCGTTCCCCTTCTTGCATAATGTGTGCCTGCCCTCCTGCATTGTGCAGGGAGTTGGACTAGATGACCCTGGAGATCCCTTCCGACTCTATGATTCTATTCCAACCTTGTGAGTTGGCATTTCAGAACAGCCGTCTCACACTGCTGTGGTTACGTGTGAAAAGGAGACACACACACCCCGGACCTTCCCCGAAGTACCCCTTCTGAGTTTTTTAGGTACTGTAATGGAGGTAGTACGGGAAGTTACTTTGGCAGAGCAGCGCGTGCTCCGAAGTGCCGTACAAGTTTTCCGACGAGGCTTTTTCTTCTTTCCTTGATGTGTGCTGTAATGATTGAGCAGGGTAATTAGACAGCATATTGTTCGCTAAACAAAACATTTCTGTGTGACATACTTGAATTATAGTGGTTATTAACTGACAAATCTCTATTATTCATCTTGCTTGTGTGCTTTAAAGATTGCTGGATCAGCAAGCTGAGCAAATATCAACCGGGCAGTGCTGATTTAGAGGAAACATGTCGATTTTAATTGGTCTCCGTTCCTTCCCCTTGTATTGGAAAGCAATAATGGGGACGTCTGACGTGAGGTCAAAGCAGCCGACCGCTCACGCAGCCGCCTCTTTTCATTTGCCCCGCTGATGTCGTCAGAGCTCATTGTGGCGGCTGGGGAAAAGGCAGCAGGTGGACTGGGTTGGGGGGTCAGCCGGCGTTGGGGGATTAATCTTTGACCTTAGTCTTGGGGGGGGGAGGTAGGTGCTCCTGGATTTCACCCCAGCCAAGCCAAGGTCCTGGGAAATGGCTGCCTCTTGATTTCTTCCGCCAGAACAGGAAAGCATCAGTGGCAGAGGATTTGTCCCACAACTCGTAGAGTTGGAAGGGATCTCCAGGGTCATCTAGTCCAACCCCCTGCACAATGCAAGGGCAGAATTCCTGCCGAATTGTTGGGCTGAGCAGGTGGACGTCCGTAGGAGAGTAGATGGATGCTGCAGGGCATGCCCAGTCATGTGTCATGATCAGAAGTGTTGCTTGTAGAATCACAGAATCGTAGAGTTGGAAGGGATCTCCAGGGTCATCTAGTCCAACCCCCTGCACAATGCAGGAAACTCACAAATACCTCCCCCTCCACACCCATGGTGACCAGTGTTCCATGCCCAGAGGATGACAAAACTGGCCTGGAGAAAAATTGCTCCCTGACCCCAGAGTGGCGATGAGCATTTTCCTGGGCGTGTTAAGAAAGGGCCACGAGAACTAAGCATTGAGGCAACCCTTCCTGTCCCTCCCTCTCATGATCTGCCTAAGTTCCCCCAGTAAAAGCTTCAGGTTGCCCTGGCAAGCAGACCAGTGTGGCAAAGATGCTTTGAGGGCAGGCAGTTTTGAAAACGGCATTGCTGGATGGGCCAGTGGTTGGACTGAAGCAGATAATGGGCAGTTCCTTTATATCGGAGATCTGTGGGAATGACTGTAGACGTAAAGCAAACCCTGTTCCCTTTTGTGAAGCCACACCCTCTTCTGCAGAATTAAAATGCCTCTTCTGTGTACAGTGATTTTTCCCCGTATTCTTTTTGGCTTGTTTAAACCAACGAAATTAAGGAATCGTGTGCTTATCACTGGAAGACTTCTTTTCATGACTCACGACTGCACTTTTAACATCTGATCGCAGTTCTTGAGTAGGAGGTGGCTGAACGTTGGCATCCTCTGAATGAGGAACGAGAAAAATGCAAAAGGGAAAGGGGGGGAAAAGACACCATTGAGACAGACGCTACGTAGTTTTAGCGGCAAACGAGACAGAAAGTGCCGGGCCTTAAATTCGGCAACTCTGAGAGGGCGGAAAACCCTAGCCAGCACAATAAATATTTAATTCTGTGCGTAAGGGTGGAAATTAAAAGCCTTTAGTTTTAAAAGCATTTAAATGAAAAGGCTTTGGTTTCGAGTTGCTGCAGGAAAGACACCATTGAGACAGACGGTACGTAGTTTTAGCGGCAAACGAGACAGACAGTGCCGGGCCTTAAATTCGGCAGCTCTGAGAGGGCGGAAAACCCTAGCCAGCACAATAAATATTTAATTCTGTGCGGAAGGGTGGAAATTAAAAGCCTTTAGTTTTAAAAGCATTTAAATGAAAAGGCTTTGGTTTCGAGTTGCTGCAGTCCCAGTACCGCTCCCTGCCTAGGTAGTGCTAGAGTGTCTGTGTGGAAAATGCAAGTGAAGTGAATGAGAGTCTCTTGACAATATGACAGTCAGGGCTTTTTTGGTAGAAAAAGCCCAGCAGGAACTCATTAGCATAATATGCCGCACCCAACAGCAGAAACATATTAGCGTATTAGGCCACACCCCTGACAGTGCAGTTCATTAGCATATCAGGCCACACCCCCACGTTACCAGAAGTGTGGTCATCCAGCCACACCCACTTTTTGCTTCTTATTCTGTTTACCTTGTTGTTCCTGCCCCAAAACATCCCTGATGACAGTTACGTTGTCGTTAATGCACTGAAATTGCAAAGCAGGACTGCTTTCCTGGAACTGCGGTAGTTTAGCAACTTGGTATTAAAATGGAAACTGAAATAGTGCTAAAATATCCACACTGTTGGCTGCTACGGGGCAGGGAAATGCATGACCTCGTTGTGACTTTGCATGACTTTCCATTACCAAATGCTATGGGCAGTAGAAAAGACCAGGAGTCCAATTGCACCTTAAAGACTAACAACATTCGTGGCAGGGTATGAGCTTTCATGAGTCACTGTTCACTTCTTCAGATACAGTGAGAATGTGAGTCTATCCGTCCTTATATCTTGGAGAGTGGAGTGACTTCAGATGCCGAATGACAATAGCAGGTGAATGACAACAGCAGAGG